GGGGGGGGGGATGTGACGACTCGACCGGTCGTCTCGAGAGTTGTAGACCCATTTCCCCATTTTCTACTTTTATTGTGTTCTACATCTATTATATGATTTACCGGGTTGGTTGGTTCGGGTCCGGAGTGATATCGGAGTGAATTGAGACACTTAGTCTCTCAATTGGAAGCTTAAGTTGGAACAAGTCGACTGAATGTCGACATATGTGTAAACGGCCTCGAATTTGAATTTTTATGGTTCTATTAGCCCTTTTTGGTGATTTTGGACTTAGCAGCACATCCGAAAAGTGATTTGGAGGTCTGTAGTAGAATTTGACTTGAATTGACGAAAGTTGAATTTTTGGCAAATTTGACCGGAAGTGGAATTTTTTATATCGGAGTCGGAATCTGATTCTGAAAGTTGGAGTAGGTCCATAATGTTGAATATGACTTGTGTGCAAAATTTGAGGTCAATCGCACGTGGTTTGATAGGTTTCAGCGCCGTTTGTGAAATTTAGAAGTTTAGAAGTTCATTAGGCTTGAATCTAGGTGTAATCCGTATTTTTGATGTTGTTTGGGGTGATTTGAGGGTTTTACTAAGTTCATATTGGGTTATAAGACTTGTTGGTATGTTTGGTTGAGGTCCCGGGGGCCTCGGGTGTGTTTCAGATGCTTAACGGGTTAAAATTGGGACTTAGGTAATTGCTGAGTTTACTGGTGTTCTAGTGTTACGCACCTGCGGTGGGGAGACCGCAGGTGCGGACCCCCTGAAGCGAAGAGAAGGACGCAGGTGCAGGCAAGGCCGCTGAGTTTACTAGTATTCTAGTGTTTCGCACCTGCGGTGGCGAACCCGCAGATGCGAAAAAGGGAAGTTTGGGCATTTACGCAGAAACGGACGAAGGGCCGCAGAATAGACTTCGCAGGTGCGAGACCTGGAGTGCAAGTGCGAGCCTAGTGTTTTTAGTGGGTTCCATAGGTGCGGATACTTTTGCGCAGGATCGGTTTCGCATGTGCGGAAATAAGGCCGCATGTGCGAAAGGCCTAGGCAGAACATATAAATACGGGACTTCGAGATTTTTCACCATTTTCACTATTTTGAGCTCGGATTTTGGAGGTTTTTGAAGTGATTACTGAGGTAAGCTCCGTGTGTCAATTTATCTTCAATAATGATATTTGTTCACTGATTCTTCACCTAATTAGTGAGTTTTTAAAGTGAAATTTGGGGGTTTAGGGCTAGGGAAATTGGAGAGTGAATTTTGAGGATTTGGCTGATCAAATGGTGTCGGATTTTGATAAATTTGGTATGGTTAGACTTGTGAGTGAATGGGATTTCGGGTTTTGTGACTTTCGTCGGATTTCGAGACGTGGTCCCGGGAGCAGGGTCGAGCCTATTTCGGATTTTGGCTTATAATTTTATGTTTTTCTTGTGGAATTGATTCCTTTAGCCTATATTAATTATTTCGTACTACTTGTGGCTAGATTCGAGGAATTTGGAGACTAATTCGAGGGGCAAAGGCATTTTAGAGTAGGATTTTGCGCGGTTTGAGGTAAGTAATAATCTTAAATATGGTCCTGAGGGTGTGAAACCCTAGATTTTGGTATGATGTGATTATTTTGGAGGTGACGCACATGCTAGGTGACGGGCGTGCACCGTGGGGGATTGTGACTTAGTCCGTCCCGTGAGACTGTAAAGTCGAATAGCTTATTGTTAATTACATGTTCCCTCTGTCTTCTAGAAATTTGATTGCCATTCATGTTAGAAACCATGCTTAGGCCATATGGTATCACTGTTGGGACCCGCAGTGGTAGGGTACTTGTTGAATTAGCTGCTATTTATTGTCTTGTACTTAGTCACAGTTTTACTTGCGTGTCATATCTCTGTTTCCTCTTGTTTTCTTGTTGATACTTGTTATTATCTCTTTTGGGCTGATTCGTATGATTTCTGAGAGCACGAGAGCCTGGAGAGGTTAGTGACTGAGATAGGGCCTGAATGTCGAGCTATGAGCTATGTGAGGTATATAGATCGGGTTGCACGCCGCAACGAACCTGAGGGCTGAATATATATGGATCGAGTTGCACGCCGCAACGAGCCTTATGGTTATTTATGGATTGTGGATCGGGTTGCACGCCGCAACAAGCCTTATGGATACTTATATGATTGGATCGGGCTGCACGCCGTAGCGGTATAACGCTTGGGCTGAAGGAGCGCCTCCGGAGTATGTACACCCCCAGTGAGCGCACGTACCTATTGAGTGTGATTATTGAGGGCTGAGAGCCGGGTGTTTGAGCTATTGAGAGCTTGAGTGATTGTTACCTTGAGAGGTTGCATTTGTTTCCTTTGTTGATGCACTTAGCTGAATTATGTCATTGTTCTGAACTTCTGGAAAATATTGTATCCGGTTTATCTGAACTTAGTAAATGTACAATTGATTGAACTTATATTGCCGAAATTGAATCATGTCTACTTTCATTGCTGGAATTTATGAAGTGAACGGTAATTGTATAGATCGTCACTACTTCTTAGTTCCTTATTTATTTTTGTTACTTACTGAGTTGGTTGTACTCACGCTACACCCTACACTTCATGTGTAGATCCAGGTGTATCCGGTCACGGAGGACATTGATCTCGTGCGTGGTTAAGTATCGGAGATTCGCGAGGTAGCTGCCGGCGTTCGCAGTCCTTGTCTCTCATTTCTTGTTATCTTTCTTTTCTGTATTGGCATTTAGACACAGACTCTTGTAGACAATGTTTCTTAAACTGGTTGTTTAGATGCTCATGACTTGGCGACACTCCGATGTTTGGGGCTATTTTTCCGCGTTGTATTTTGAGTTTAACTCCTGTTTTTATGAAAACTCTGTCATATCAAGTTTTTGGTTTATTTTGTGAAACATTTGAAGTATTTTGAAAAAAAATGGCTTGCCTAGTATCATCGATAGGCGCCATCACGGCATGTAAAGTTTTTGGGTCGTCACAATTTACCCCTACAATCAGCAAACTTTTAAAAATACCCCTTGATCTGTTAAGTAATTCAAAATCTCCCAAATTCCTTTTATTGAAATCACTTGTTGTTTTTCTTGGTCCACTATTTTTAAAAATTACTATTGATGTGAATGCTAAAGTTACTAGACTATACAATTTTTTCATAATGTTTTTTAATTATCAATGCACCATTTCTCTTTTTTTTGTAATAAATAAAATTGGTTTAAAATTTTATTTATTTTTTAATCATATACACACCGTAGAATTTAGTGGGTCTATTTATTGTATATTATATGCAACCGATCATAATGTATGTACATGTATATTCAAATATATTTTGTCATTGCTTGGTTAGTATAGAGTTCGATCGACTAACTTAAGAGTGCACAATGTGTAGGCATTTAATTAAAACAAAATTGAATTAGACAATGTAAAGTCTCCGAGGAACTTCAACTTCAATCACTAATACTTGCAAAGTATCCATAAATTTGGTGCAACGAATTCATTAAAATTGGAATGTTGTAAATACTTTTAGAATTTAGTTTAATTTACTATACTTTATTTATTCGATTGTATTATTTAATATTTTTTTTCTAATTCAGAAAGCTGATAAATGCCAATTATTTCAAAAATTGTGGACCAAGAAGAACAACAAGTGATTTAAATAAAAGAAATTTGGGAGATTTTGGACTACTTAACAGTTCAAGGGGTATTTTTTTAGAGTTTGTTGATTGTAGGGGTAAATTTGGCTAGATAGTACAACTGTAGGGGTAAATTTGGTCCGATAATATAACAGAGGTTAAATGTAAACAATATATGAAAGTAGATGGGATACATTTAGCCATTTTCCCTCCAATTAAAGGGTATAATTGAATAAAAATATAACGGTAGGGGCTGACCAAACTATTCTAACAATACCTCCCAATGGCCTATGAACACCTTCGCTAATAATGGAAAATGGCTGGCGTTGCAGATTTCCACTCATCAATAGCACAATGTTTGTGTGCCATATCGTTCTAGAATAGTACTATCACTTTACGTTTAGATCACACGTGGTGACTTAAATATATTGTAATTAATGAACCAATATTATGCCATAACTCATACCTCTATTGTTACTTTTAGTCAACTTAAAGAAGCGAGCAGAAGCAAAATGTTCTTTAGCCTATTTCTCCCACGGCTTTGGCCGCCTTATTCCGTCACCTGAGAGTTGAGATCTATGTTAGTACCGGCAAAGCTGGTCTCTTGCTTCCCAACCGACCTTCTCAAAGTTGACAAAACAAAGGTTATTTCTGAATGACCTTTTTGGTTCGCGAAATTTAGGTCCAGGGTTTCCAGCTTATTACAATTTTTGTGTAAATCCTTATTAGAGGACAAAAATGAAGAGGATTATAGATACTTATCCCAAGTTATACTATGTTGAATGTTTTTTTCTCTTCGATTTAGTGATGATTTTTAACAGAGCCATATATTGATTTTCATCAATTAAATTGTAATTTCATAAGGTAGCTGCTATCTTGTATCAGCAAAGCTACCAGGTAATTTTGTACTCCGAGATTAGACTGTCCTCTCAGTCTCTCCTAGGATTTGAACCTTGGTATCCAGCTAGAACTCTTAGATTCATGTGTTTCTATAACTCACGTTTTGAAGGTTGATTTTTATTGGACTTTGCAGGCATGCCTTTTCTACTTGGTACGTGGAGAACTTAACCCTGTTTGTAAGATCATGAGTTACTGCCTAATTTTGTATATGCCATAGGACTTCTGATCAGCAATGGTATTGGTTAACATGATAGACTAGCAGTCAAGTATAGTCATAGAATATAAGGAATTTAGATCTTGTGTGCGCAAATCTTTTTGTGATTATTTTAGCACCTCAGTCCTTTATTTTCAAAGAGTAGGTTAAATTATTGACTCAATTATTCCTCATTATCTTCTTTTGCTTCTCGCTGGAGCAGCAAGAAGAGGAGAGAGGGTAAATTTATGCAGTGAAAACTTCACTTGCTCACTGATTGAAAAAAAGCATGTTACTCTCCTCTTATTAATTATATTGGTAATTTCTTTTTTACAAAGAGTTTTGACTAGCTATGTGTTACATAAAGTAATTGCTGTAAGCTATTCGTATGTCTGTTTTATTAATTCATATAATTCTACACATTCATCAGGTAGTTTTACCTTGTAATCTTGATTGAATTAGGGGTTGTTGCAGTCACAGTTTTGAGTGATACATTTTATTGCATTTTGTTCATATATTTGGCTGTTTTTATTCTGGACAGAGGATGATACCAACATCCCCGCCAAGGATAAAATACCTATTGTGCTGTTTCGTTGGCATTTTTGTGATCGTGAATGGCAATTTTCATGTAAGCATATGAATACAACCTGTGAGTATCCCTCAATTCTCAATATTGCTTTATGAATTACTTTGTTATAGTGATTGCGCTTTTGCGGTTGAAGAATCCCAAACTGGAAAGGCTTCAACTACTTCTGAGGGGTTATCTATGAAACTTTTCATTTCTTACGTTAGACAGTAGCCCGTATATCAAAGTTCACTTTCCTACCCACATATGTTTCTCTTGTGGCTCTATAGTCAAATTACTCAAGGCCACACATATACAGAACGTTTGCCAATGATATGAGATATGGGCTTTCTGTGATAGTTGTAAACACAAATGCATCAAGATAGTGCCTGACAGAGGCCATAAAGGAAAAGAGAAAATAACACAATAATTTTGGCATCGTTTCTTTTGTTTATTACTTGCTAAATATGCACTGTAGTTGCCGTACAAAGAAGATTGGAGTATAAATAAGAGAATCTTTTCACTAATAATCTATTAAGGTATAAATACTGTTTTAAGTAAAGAATCAAGGATATTAAACATAGAGTTTTTAAGGCTGGAAGAGACGAGTACTCTTTTGGTAAAACTCGGTTCAATTATCTCTCGGATTTGCAGGATTTGTTGTCTTTAATTAAAGCCACATCCTGAGGAACTTTTGGTTGTATCTGATATCAGTATATCCCTTCCAGGTAATGTAGTGAGTTATGTCATTACTTCTTTATTTAACAGATGAATAGAGGATTACACATAGGTTCATATTGTTAGAACATACACAGCGGAAGCTAGCATACAAACCAGACATCAAATACATGTAAACTAGACAATGATATAATTACTCGATTAGAAGCACTAACCTCTTGAAATCGTTGCACAAATCCTCCATACAGCAAGAATCCAGGGCTGCAGTCTTCTGCTATGGTCCTAATAAGACCTTGGACGAATTTGCTTTGAGTGGGCAAAAACAATACAACTCTAAAAGTGAGTTATTGGGTGAAAATGTCTTCCTTAAGTAGACACGTTTTCAGCCAAAAATTAGGCTCTCAAAAACGTGTAGAATTCTATTTGCACAAGTAGAATCCTACTCTAACTCTACCGGATGACTTTTCTCCCAAGTCACTTTTTACCCAAGTCAGTCCAGATTTTTACTAGGCATAGCAGGGACCACAGAAATAATAAGAGGCTACTAATTATAGTATTAATTCGAAATTTTGCATGAATTAATTCTTACTATAATTAATTGCAGTTTATTTCACTAAAAAACTGCAATTGAACTCCTCAATATGAGTTTCGAAAATTCACTAACGCTTATTTTAACTCCCCATGTTAAGATCCCAAATACCAGTTAATTAAATTAAATCACTGAAAATTTAATTTAATCAACTAATTAAATCTTTTATAATTCTGCTTAAACTATTTCATGTGACGGATACAAAATCCACCGGCCGAGTTTTCACATGAAAACTTATAAGCTTACATGAAAGGGGTATCATCAAACTCAAAACCGAGCCATGGATTCTATCTACTAATTATTATTTCACAAATGTTATTCATTATTGTCCAATCTATTAGGCATACACTAACTCTGAATAGAGTTGTACCTTTTAATAAATCAAAACAATAAACAAATCACATTGATCATAATAATTATATCAAGATAAGGAGTATAAGCTCATTTTAATGAATAAGAGAAAATGTTTTATATATATTCAGTACAAATTTTTTGTCTACTTGGTTCGTTCAATATACACTAAGTATACTAGCACAAGAAGTTGGAGTAAAATCACTCCCATAATCAAGACAAATTATATTATAATCTTGTGCTACAATCATCAAGATATTTTGTCCAATAATATCTTTGATTGTGAACATAGTTTATTAATTATGTGAACCGACAATTTAATCTTCTGTGCATGAGCTAAAACTCCATACACTAAATTGTCTACTACATAACTAAAAGGACACACATGTAACAAATGATCTATTTTAAAAGGTACTTTATTGAATTGAATAAATTAAATAAACAATTGTTCCATGGGAGCTAAATGGGAATGGAGATTCAGGTGAGCTAAATGATCGGTTTTGACTAGTAGAAGCCAGTATACAATGTGATATGATAACACTGTGATCTCTAAGAAGGTGCCTTGATTCTCTCTGAATTATGAGGTCGAATGCCAAAATTGATTTTAAGATTTCTGAATTTGTGTTCTCTTTTGCTTGATTCTCATCGACTAAGGTGAATTTTCTTAAACATTCCCCCTCCTCTCTATGAACAATAGCTGTAATTTGTTACATTTTTCCGTAGTTAGAGTAGAGAAGTCATCACCAAGTAATTCATTCTCTCTTTAGAATAGAGAAGTCACTGATTAATTCATTCTCTCTGTCAATCTTTTTAGCTAATATTGAGCGCTGAATTCTTCTTGCTTTTAAGTGAGAAAATTGCTTTAGTTTGCATTTTTACTTGATTTCTTTTGAATTTTTTTTACATTTAGGTTGTGCTTTGTCTTACCATATTGGAAGAACCTAAGCAGAGGGAAAAGGAAGAAATAATTGTCAGATTGTTGTCTTTTTTCTTATGTGTTGAGTATAGGTTGTCTTTTTTCTTATGTGTTGATTATTTCAGCATTTATTGTGAATATACTTTTCTTAGTCGATGCAAATATGGTTCTCTTTTCCCTTTTTATTCTTTTTGGTCTTAAACTTTCAGCTTAGATTTGTTTTCCTTGTGAGAATTTACTCACTTATGGTTATGGATGCCTTGAGTGCAATGATTCCGATACTATGACGGTTAAGAAACCTGGAAAAGAATAGTTTAGCTGAATTAGTTTTAGTTATGTTCTTATCTAATTCAACAAGGTTTTTCGTTGACATTCCAAAGCATAGGGGATTACTAAAGTCTCATCAACTTTGTCAAATGTAGGATCCCCAATTTATAGTATCCTCCAGAATGATTCCCATGAAGGTAAGCAAACATATTGCTGCTTTGTTTGATGTATCTCTCTACTAATTTGAATTTAAGATCGGTAAGAGTTATAGATTCTATTTGAAATTTCTGTTTCAGGTTCATTAAACAAGTACCACAATCGCACGCTTTAAGGAAGAATGCAAGGAAATACACGAGGTCATTTTATCTACAAGGTTAAACCATTAACTTTTTCTGTGCTATTTGGACGTTTACAATACAATCTAAACATCGTATTGTCATTTTAGCCATACAGGGGTGAAATGGTGACTCTGATAACTGGGTATTACAAAAGTTCTTTGGTATACATGTTTATTGCGTTCTCAAGCCAGGTGGCTTCTATTCCAACAAATACCCTTAACATAATTCTAGAAGCATCCTTGATAACACGTTATTGTTATTTAATACTTATAATTCGAAAAAAAAAACTATTCGTCATATCCAATACTATTAGTTAGCATAAGCAAACTATAGATCCACAAAATTTCACCATATAAAGAAACATTCAGAGCAGCAAAATCAGCTCGCCGGTATTAAAAAAGCACAAGTCTCCTATCGCCAAGGCTGAAATAAAATTTGTGGATTTAATTACTCTAAATAAGGTCAGTCAAGCATATCATCAAACATCTATGATGCATAGTCCACTTAAACAATTATTATTGATAATCACATTATAAAAAACAAAATTACCCACAAAAGAAGAAGAAGAGGAAGAGGAACAGAAAGTGAAAGAACTGAAGAAAAAGAATATGGGTGCATCTTCGTCTTCTAACATTTTTGTCACACAAGCTGGTAAAGTAATCATACCCAGTGTATATTAGCATCAGATCACCCATCCTCCTCTTTCATTGCTTATCTCTTCCTTTCTAGAATCGATCTGTAGTATAGCACAAATCAAGTTTTCAGTAAAACAATTTAATTTTGAAGTGATAAATTAGTAGGAAAGATATACATAATGCATGTCCGAAACAAGTATAATCACTGATATGCATGTAAAAATTCTAGTAAGAAATTATTCAAAACAATAGAAAAATTAAACATATACTCACCAAACAGTAATTGCCAACAGAGAAATTGCATAAATAACTCACCAGAAAAAAGATGGATAAGCTTTGAAAGAGTGAAGATCAAATCACGAACTAAGTTAAAAAATTCTGAATAGAAAACCCAGAAACGAGGCTAAGAAATCGTACCAAAGGAGAAAGAAAAGGTAAGAGGGAGAGAAAGGCTCTGGAAGATTGGAGAAAATTCTAGAAAGTACGGATATAGATATGAAGGAAGAAGAAATGTATAAAACAGGTGTCACCAATAACTACACGTATTTGATAGTTAAACGTGGGTTTATATTTTTACAATTACGTATTTACCCTTGGTCGTCCAAAAACCTTCACTTATTAATATGTTAAATAAATATTTGGATTGTATTAACTTGCTTAAAGAGGCACTCAGTGTGGAGAAACATTTAAGAATGTATTTATTTGTTAAGAAACTCTTCATGTGATCCTCTGGAGAATGTGTTCATGAAATATAGTTTTGGAAGGTGTTTTCTTTTATTATGAAGAATTGTATGCTAAGATGATTATTCGTGTGGTTAAAAAAGTTTGCGGACGTAGTTGTTCAGCCTCAAATGTGAGGTGCACAGAATTCTCTTGCTGCACTTTTGGTAAACTCGAAAGATATCTTCTATTTAGAAAAGCTTAATTGGTTTATGTTCTTTTTCTTGTTTAAATGATTTGAAGTGAACTGAGAATCTTGTACCAGATAGTTGTTAACATAAATACTTGGATGATTTGCAGACAGTGTCATATTCCTACGTAGCTGTATTTTGTAGAGTGTTAAACGTATTAAACCGAAATGAAAGGTGACTGCATGTGCTTTGTGGTAATGTTGCTGCATACGGTGTTTATGAACTACTAAGTTGTTTTAATTAATGTTTGTTGGTTCAGAGATTATTACACCTAGTTTTGTAACTTCCTATACCGACATGGTACTGCAATTCTTTTATCCGTCCGTGATTACATGTACATTATTGACAAAACAAAGTTATTTGCTGTCCTTATTTTCAGAAACTCCAAGCACTGTCAACCTAAAAAGGTAAGTTATGCTATTTTACTTAACGCAATCAATTTGCATAAACTATTATTTTGTACATGATTGATAAAAGCTATTATTTTGTATGTGTCATTAGTATGAGTGAAGTGTTCTGTGTCATTGTTAAGTTATTTGTGGTCTTCACTTTAATAATACCATGATATAATTTATGTCGTTTGTGTTTGCTTTGTCGTGCACACTTTGAATGAGGAAGCTCTGCTTTTCGTTGTCTCTATTTGGGATCTGGTGTTAGAAAAAAAAACAGTGAAACAAAAGCCCTTTCTGATAAATTTGTCAATCAATGTAGCTGTTGAACTTAGCTTTATTAAGGTAAGAGTATCAATATTCTGAAAACAGTAGTTCTGAAATGAAGTTAAGATGACTTACACTTACAGATTTCGTCTTTTTGAGCATTCTGTTATTAATGATAAAGCGATACCTGCATCGTCCTTCTAATGTCATAAGAGACTCATCTTCCCTCTTGAAAGAGGTTTAAAGTACCACTTCTTTTATTGATATAGTCTATAAAACGATGATTAATTGTGATTGTGTGCACAATTGCCTACGCTTCTGCCTTCTGCCTCTGTTCAGCTCTGCTAATTGACTTAATTAGACACGTTCTTCAGATAAGAGCTTAAATTACAATGCAAAAATAAATACCCACTATTGTTAATCTACTTGAGTACACCCGCTGATAACTGAAAATGGAATAGTCTCATAAGTGACTACTGTACTGTCCTAAATCCAGGTCAACCTACCTATATTGCTCGGACTCTCCGAAAATGTCTCCGGATGCGTGTTTGATCCTCCAAAAGTAGTATATTTTTGGAGAATCGGACACGGGTAGAATCCTACAACATTTTGTAGAGTCCGCGCAATATAGCAACCTACCCACTTCATTCTTGGACATATGGATGTACTCCTCCATCGCCTTTATAAGGCATCATCATTAGTAGCAGGGTCCATCACTAAAAAAATCCTCCTTTTCTCCGGTAACTAGGTTATGAAAATGATATAGACCGAGTACTTTTAGCAGTTGGAATAGGTTTAGTTAGTAATTTTTAGTTTTGTTTTATGTCTAAATGGTAAACTATTTCTTTGTTCCTTTTCTGTTTACCAAACTTGAACTAGACTTTCCTTTTTCGTTCAGCTTGTAATTTTTCTAATAACCTGCTCAATAATTAGACTTGTCCAAATTAGAGCCTTACCCCTGTTTGAAGTACTATATTCCCTTGAGACAAGTTGGGAATATTTGTTGTACTACCATTTAGGAATTTTGATATGCTTGATGTGTTTCTTTAACTATTAGTCTGATTGGCAGTTTAAGATTCAGGTTACGATTGCGGGAACATCATTCATTCACAACAAATGCAACAGTTGAATTTTGTTTTGCTGTAGAATTTTTATGGTATCACTATCAGTATAGTGTAGATAATGAAGGACAATTATGATTCAACTTTATCATAGAATGAGACCCTAATTGGTTTGATATTATGCCATCCAATTGCTATATGAATTCCCTTTCTACCATGACTGCAAAGACACCAGAAGATCTTCAGTACAAACTTAACTTTTATCTTTATTCTTTTAAATTATGTAAAATGTCATATATTATGAACTATATATGATTTTGCTTAATAACCTACGGTATATATTAAAGCAGCATGTCAGACTGTTGTGGCGCTAAACGCGGGTGAGATTTCTTTGTCGTCGAATGCAAACCCCTCTGTCTCTCTCTCTCTCTCTCTCTAGGGACTATCTTCCGATGAGACGAAGGGTATAGAAGGGGTGATGAGCTTCAACATTCTATTTCCGTTGCCATTGTCCATTTTAGTAGATGAGTACTCTCGTTAGTGTCCAAATGCATACCTTGTACATGTAAATAAGTACTTATATTTTTTTTTCCACCATCAGACCGAAACTAGACATCGACGATTGAAAGCCATTAGAAATCATCGTGTAAAAATTTCTTGAATTTATCTGGTGCTTCATATTTTCTTGCATCAAATAATTCAAAGAAACTTTGGTGAAGTCATCGAGAAACATTTAACTATATGATTAGTGAAGGTACTGAGGTACGGCGAATGACATTTATGTAATTAAATCAAAAGTGAGGGCGAGTTCGAAACCACTTCTGGTTCTCCACTCTGTTCCACAGACCCACTTGGAAATTTGGCTTTGTATTATGTAAGTAAATTTTGGTTCTCATTTCTTTTCTCACTCTCTCTCTTCTCTTGGGTTTCTTCTTCCGCACATCTCTGTTGCTCTTTTTTCTCTCCGGTGGGTTCTTCTTCCTCTTTCTGTTTTATTCGGTTTTTTCCTTTCAATTTTGGTTTCTTTTATTTTGTCTTTTACTTTTGTGTTATTTGTTTTTATTTTTCTTTTGAGTTTCTCTTGTGGCATTTTAGTTTCCTTTTTTTGATGAAGTAATTAATTTCATTGCTGGCATCAAGAAGATGCATAATAGTTACAAAAGAGTTATAGCAAAAAGAAATAATGTCAGTTCTAATACAGATGTTCAGGCTATTACTAAGGAGCTAACAAAATTCAAATAACTATCGGGGGAATTTATGGGGGATAAATAAACCCAAGTGAATAAAAAAGTTAATACAATTAGCTTTGAGAGATTGGAAAGCAGTTGATAGTCCTTCAAAACATCTGCTATTCTTTTCCTTCCAAATACTCCAAAAGATACTAGCAAGAACCATCTTCCAGACTTTCTTGTGCTGTCAACTTTCCAAAAGCTCTAACTCTCAAAAGCCTCCTTGATGTTATGTGGCATGGCCCATCTGAGTTCAAATAGAGAAATAAACATTCCAGAGATCTGCTGCAACTGGGCAGTGTAGGAAGAGATAGCTATGTGATTCTGCCTCCCTCTGGCACATGTAACATCTATTGACAATCTGAAAATTTCTTCTAACTAAATTGTCCCGTGTTAGACATGATCCATGTAGAGCAGTCCAGTTGAAACACGCGACTTTATGTTGCCGTTTAACTTTCCATATTAGCTTCCAAGGCCAGTGGTCGGTGATTGCATTTTGAGCTTCTGATAACTTGTAGGCTGCTTTCACGGAGTACCTTCCCGCATGTGCATTCCCCCATTTGAACTGGTCTGGTACTAGGTTGTTACTGGAGTAGCTATTCAGTGTGGCTAGTAGTCTGACTAGCTCTTCAAATTCCCAGTCTTGCAAGTTCTTTCTGCATAGTATGTTCCAGGTGTCGCCCTCCCTACATTGCAAGATTGTTGAATCTGGATCTTTGGCTATCTGAAATATTGCAGGGTAGTCATTCATCAAAGCAGTGCTTCCTAACCACTTGTCCTTTCAAAACTTGATATGTTAACCATTCCCTACTACAAAGTGTTTGTTCATTGAGAATTCTTCCCATAGCTTACAAATGTTCTTCGAGACTCCAACTCCATTTGGTGCTCTTGATAATTTAGTGCACCAATGATTCAGGACTCCATGTTTGGCGTTGACAATTTCCTTCCAAAGACATTGCTCATCCTGTGTGTACCTCCATAGCCATTTCATTAACAAGCATTTGTTATGAAGGACTAGTTTTTTATGCCTATCCGCCTTGGTGCTTTGGTAATTGAACCTTAGACCACTTGGACCAGATGAAATTATGATCCTTGTTTTTCCTTCCCACAAAAACTTCCTTCTGATATTGTCAAGTTGTTTCAGGACCCTACTACTCATCGGATATAGTGACATATGGTAAGTGGGGATGCTATCAAGGACACTATTAATCTGGGTCAATCTTCCACCCATTGATATATACTGTAACTGCCATGATGTTAGCATATTTTCTAACTTTTCAGTTACCCCATCCCATATAGCTTCTGATTTAGGAAGCCCCATATAGGTAGTTGGGAAAGTCCCTATGCAACAACCGAGTATTCCTGCCAATTCCTCTAGGTTATGTACCTCATTTACGGGGTAAATCACACTCTTGAGCATGTTGATATGCAAACGTGAAAGAGCTTAAAAAATAAGTAGAGTTAGGTTTAAATAGTGCACCTGATCTCTGTCTGCCCCACAAAAAAATCAAAGTGTCATCTGCATAGAGCAAATGTGAAAGGTTTACTGAATTGCTTCTCCCCACATCAAAGCCACTAATCCACTGCATCTGCTTAGCTTTGTCCAATATTCTACTTAATCCTTCCATTGCTAGGATGGATAAGATTGGAGATAAGGGGTCTCCCTGCCTCAAGCCCCTTTGTGGAGAGAAGAAACCAACTGGACTTCTATTAATCAAGATAGAGTATTTCACAGTGGACATATTAAATTTAGTCCATTTGATCCACCTTTCTCCAAATCCCATTTGCCTAAGAATGGAGATAAGATAAAGACCAATTTAGTTGGTCAAAAGCTTTCTCTTTGTCCAGCTTGCATAAGATGCATGTTCCCCCTTGGTTCAGTTGCCAGTCAAGAACCTCATTTGCTATCAGTGAAACATCTATAATCCGCCTTCCCTTAATGAAGGCATTCTGTTGATTTGAGACCAATTTTTTCACAACTTTCTTCAATCTTTCTGCCAATACCTTAGATGTGATCTTGTATACACTGCAAATGTGGCTAATTGGGTATCAATGCAATGAAGGAAGCATTGCATGATCTAACCATCCAACATTGCTGATGGTAATGACTCATAGTTGCAAGGATGTCATACTTGATGAACTCCCATGACTGCCGGTAGAAGGCCATTGTATATCCATCAGGTCCAGATGCTTTGTCCGGAGCACTTGACTGTATAGTTGCTAACACCTCGTTTTCAGCAAATGGAGCTTCCAGATCACTCTCCTCATCTGTGATGGATGTTATACCTTCAAAATTGGCAGCTGACTTCTTTTTGCCGCCTCGTCTTTGGCTATCTGTTGTATTTCATTTCTCAGACTCAACATTTGGGTGGATTCAGATAAAGTCAGTGCTGCCTTCTTTTTGTCGCCTGCTCAAATGCCATGAGTTCATCTGGTGCCTTGGTTTTTATGGTTTCTATCTTCTCAAACTCTTTCTTGTTCCAAGTAGTGATGTTCTTCTTCAAGCTTTTCAACTTTTGTAGGAGAATGAAGTCTGCACTACCTGTGAAAGTGTAACTCTGCCACCAGTTTTTCAGCTTGTCTAGAAATCCTTCTTATTGTAGCCACATGTTCTCAATTTTAAAATAGAGAGGAGTTGGAGTTTTTGACCAATATTGTCTCTTATCTTTGAGGGTAGGTCTATTTTGGTCCCTCAAATATAGCCTGAGCATATTTAGTCCCTTAAGTATGCTAAAGTGAGTACCTTTAGTCTCACTGACACAATGTGTTCAAAAACTAATGGTGTTACCGAACTCTGATTCATGAAGCAAATCTTCTGCTCTGAAGCAACATGTTTCCTCTCCTTTTATTGGATAACGCAAATTATCACTTTAATTCCTCATTTTTAGATAATANCTTCAATAATATGCCTAGTAGTGATCCTGGCAGCTTTATTTATTTTTTTCTTCAAATTTTTAACTTTTCTTTTTGGAAAAGTCAATCGAAATCTCGCAGGTGCGAGAAACCAACCGCTTCTGCGGTTGGCAATGCCAATGCCTCAACTGCCTCCGCTTCTGCGAACTAGAAGCCGCTTCTGTGAGCTCGCATTTGCGAGGCTCGCTCCGCTTTTACGGAGAATTCGCTTATGCGCCCATCCGTCCGCATCTGCGATCACACAGGTGCGAAAATTCCCTCGCACCTGCGATCACTGCCTCACAGCTCCCTGCTCGCTTCTGCGAGCTCGCACCTGCGAGCCCATTTCCGCAGGTGCGATTGCATCAGATGACAGCAGGTTTCCAATTTTCCTCTAAGTCCGAATTTGATTCGTTAACCATGCGAAACTCACCCGAGACCCTCGGGACTTCAACCAAATACACCAACAAGTCCTAAAACATCATACAAACTTAGTCGAGCCTTCAAATCACATAAAACAACGCTAAAATCACGAATCATACCCCAATTCAAGTTTAAGGAACTTAAGAATTTTAATTTCTACATTCGATGTCGAAACCTATCAAATCAAGTCCGATTGACCTCAATTTTTGCACACAAGTCATAAATGACATAACAGAGTTATGAAAATTTTCAGAACTGGATTTCGACCTCGATATCAAAAAGTCAACTCCCCGGTCAAACAACCTAAAAATTTAATTTTCGTCATTTCAAGCCTAATTCCACTACGGACTTCCAACTAATATTTTAGACACGTTCCAAAGTCCAAAATCACCATATAGAGCTATTAGAATCATCAAAATTTCATTCCGGGGTCGTTTACATATAAGTCGACATCCGGTCACTATTTCAACTTAAACCTTAAACCTTGGAACTAAGTGCTCCAATTCATTCCTAAAACCTTGCCGGACCCAAACTAATCACCCCCGGCAAGTCACATAACAAATGTGAAGCATAAATTGAGTAGTAAATTGAGGAATGGAGCTACAACTCTCAAAACGACTAGCCGGGTTGTTACATCCTCCCCCCTTAAACAAACGTTCGTCCTCGAAAGGGTTTAGAATTATACCTGGAATGGTGACAAGATGAGGATAGAAGCTACGCATATCATGATCGGTCTACCAAGTCGCCTCCTCAACCGGATGACCCATCCACTGTACTTTTACTGAGGCGATGCTCTTCGATCTCAACTTTCTAACCTGTCTGTCCAAAATGGCCATTGGTTCCTTGACATAAGATAGATCCTTGTCCAACTGGACTGAGCTAAAGTCTAACACATGAGATGGATCGCCGTGATACTTTTGGAGCATGGAAACATGGAACACTGGATGACCTGCAGTGAGATTAGGTGGTAGTGCGAGTCTATAAGCCACCTCTCCAATTCTTTCAAGAACCTAGGTTCAATATACCTAGGGCTCAACTTGCCCTTCTTCCCGAATCTCATAACACCCTTCATGGGCGAAATCCGGAGCAAGACCCGCTCACCAACCATGAATGCAACATCACGAACCTTCCGATCCGCATAACTCTTTTGTCTAGATTGGGCTGTACAAAGTCG